TTAGGAAGGAAGAAAACGACGGCGCGGGCGACCTTGAAGCCAGCTGCTGAGGATGATTTCCGTTCGTTTTGGCAACTTTTTTTTCGGTATGTTTTTTTCAAACGGCCATGACTCATCTCCAAATGAATGTAGGAACCTAAAACCATACATTTTCAGAAAGAAACGAACTGAAATGAACTTTCTTTCAGTTTTTTTTCGACTCTGTAGCCCAAATCGTTCAGGAGATATTCACATTTTTATACAGGGGCAAAAACTGTTGGCCCACCCTGTATATTGGACTGAGCCTGGCCTACAATGCGATTGACTCGATGGGCCCATCCTTCTAGAACATTGGTGGTGCATGGTTCTCCCATGAAGACTCGTTTCTTCACATTCCTCACTCTTGGATGGAAAACAGGCAGCTACGAGGTCGACCAGGTCGACCTCAGATTCAACGCCATCATCATAATACTCTCTAAATTATGCAATGTTTGGGGCTGGTGCTGTTGACATGCAGGTCCTGACACCATCGAATGTACTTTCTGGATCGAACGCCGAAGCTGTCAACATGCGCATAGCTAAAGCAAACTCTACGTTATCTGCATCTTCAGAGACTAACACTGAACTTTGAATTTTTCTCAAAATGCTTTGTGCCAAATGAAAGAAGCAAGTGTTGTGTTTCGCATGAGGAATTACTTTGAGATACTACTGACATAATTCCGCTCTCAAAGTCGGTTGTGATGAACTGCAGCTTCGGACAAAGCGGAATCTCTTAAATGCGTCAAGTTTGTCATGCAACATCATGGGGTAACTGCGCATCTTTCGCATTCAACAAGCCATTTGAGGATGTGGCGTTTTCCACATTTTGACGCCTTCGTTATTGCAACTTTCAACGTTTCAACCATTCGAAATTGTGTGGCTTTCGACGTTTTTCTAGTCGACATAAAATCTGACGACATTGTGGCTTACGACATGATGTTATAGATACGCCTAAATCACCAGACAGAATTAGTAAATTAACGATAAAAAAGGGCGATTTTGGAATAACGTCGTAGACACAAGGACTATGAGGATTGAAAAGGGATCCCTGCGGGAGAGATATGGCGATTAGTCCGTATACATCGCAAGAGGCAATGCAGTATTGATGCATATTCAACGAACGTCTAATGTAGGATTCTGCCAACGTGCAATAATTTGTAAACCAAATTTCAAAGGTCCTCTCTTTCTTCGAACCCCTATCCGCTTTCTTACAGGACCCTTAATTGTTACTTTCCGATCACCCTATGAATGCCACACTGTATAAATAAGTACCGAACACCACAAAGACGTCGGATATTTCAGTAGAGTCTGTATCCTGAAACTTTGTGCATTGCCTACTGCCCCTCGAGGACCGCAATGAAAGAGATTAGCAATTGTAAACTAAGTTGAGTGAGAGACTCCACTTTTTATTAAGGAGGTGGGGAGGTCGAAAAGAGGGAGGAAGTTGAGTTTAGAAAAGTTCCTTTATCCAAGTTCCTCTCCACGAAAATCCCCCTCCGTCAGCATTATTGTTCAAATTTGTCACCATCGGCATTGACTCTCATTAATTACCTCCATTACCCTTGGACTCTTTGACAGTGCACAAGGATTCAAGATTACTGGAGGGAACTAATCTGTTGCTGACACTGAGTTTTCCGAAAAATGAGCAGGAGCTATGAACCGTCCTGCTAAACCATAACATGTGCTCATCATCCTGAAAAATGACAACAAATTAATAATGGAAAAAAAAGAGAACAAATAAGGTGGTCAGTCTCGTGTCTTTCATAATGATGATGACAGTAAAGCCCAGACTACCGACAGTTATACAAAATAAAAAGTCAATATCCCTGTAGGATGTACGTTGGCAAAATCAAGACATGAATCCTATTGGTACACACTTCATTTTTTAAATATACCTCCGCTGAACGAAATGGTCGTTCTCCAGTGCTACCGAAAAACTCTCCATTCACCACATAATCGCAGCGGATGAAACACTAAATAAATTTCTTTATTCACCTTGTTCATATTCCAACATCTTCGTTTCAAGCAAAGTAATCATGTTGGGTTTCGCTGTCCAGTTTACAATGTTTCATTAGATGAAGTCGGACATTAGGAAGTCCATGTTGAAAGTAAGATGAGACGGGAACAATGCATCAAGGTGCAAACAAGAATAAAGTGTGAGAAGTGGAACTAACCAAGACGTCTGAGGAAAACACGTAATTGATTCAAATCGTTTCATGTGGGTTTACACCCTACGAAATGCTCAAAGAAATGGAGCTATATTGCAACATTTCGTATTTCCTATCTGTAGCAATACTGACTAACGGATTGCTGTAAACCTACTGACTCCATCGGCACATTCAACCGAGATTCCAGCGCTGTTGAAGTTTCTAAAAATAATATTCAAGGCTCATTTAAGTACTCCAAAAACCTCATGAACGATGAGATATTAGAAATCATACATCACATGGCAACATTTTGAGTCTGGGAATTCAGTCTCTGGTCGGAAACCCGGTCATCATGGAACAGTAGACGTTCAAAACTTTATTGAAACGCAAAGAGAATATCCTCGAAGACGTCCGTGTGTTACTATTACTCAGCGTGTATGGAGGAGATCGGTTTGGACCATTCAATGAAAATCGGATAATTATCTAGGTACGATGCCACATATCTCGCGATGTGACACCCTTCGAATGTTGTTGAAGCAAGGACCATTTTGAAAGCTAGATAGTTTGAAGAAATGAATATGTTAAGGAAGTTGAGTCCTGGAAATGCAGATCACTTGTAGAGTGATACCCCAGCTGATGAAACCCCAAAATATCCTGAGGAATATTGTGAACAGAGGTAACATGCGGTTTCACGACTTTCTTTTTTTATGACAAATTTATGAAAGAGATATGAAACATGACATAATATATCATCATCCTCAAGGAATTTGAAAATCATGAACATTTTAAAATGTAATATGTAGACGAAAATTAATGAAAATATCATCCTGCTTTTGCGGAAAGACTAATTTCTATAAAGAAAGATTCCATGAAGAAAGATGGATTCGCGTGATATGAAAATCGGGGAAATGAGTACTTTAAGTCTGAAAGAAGAAGATTACTTTCTCATTAGGACAAGATGAGGACAGGATTCATTAGTATGCCGAGCAGAATTACATTCAATTGCCCTGATTTGCAGAATCCTGCGTGACTGAGTACCCCAGCATAGAAAACGCCACCGTGTCATACGACAGATGGGACGGGAAATACCCAGCACCACCTGGTTCCCGCGTCATCTATACCTGCCCTCATTCCTCAAGTTTCAATGACGGGTCGGACGTCCACAATGCCACGTGTTCCGTTCGGATAGATGACACCTGGGACAGCTCCTTTCACGACAGGCATGTTCGATGCCAAGGTAATTCACTTGACTCACCGAAAATCCGTCAGTTTAACACGATTCTTGGCTAGGAGCAGCAAAATTCGGTGGATGATTGCGTTCCGGGTCGGGTGCGGGTCAGAATCGGGCCGATCGAGTTTCAACTCTGACAAGTCGACCCGTGCCGGCCTCCAACGCGCGCAGAGAGATAGGAGAACCCAAAGAAATAACGTTCGCAGCGTACTTACAGGATTTTTGACCCGATAAGTATCGCCTCCTGGTCATGAGCTTTCAAGTGACATCTTAATTATTAAAAAATTTGTTCATCCATCTAAGAGGAGTTTCCTGGAATGGCACACAGAATGACTGACTGAAAGATTTGCCTTTTATGTATATGTATTAGAATTTCGAAAGATATTCCTATTTAATGGTAATGGTATCTGTTATTTCATGTGATGAATTGTTAAATAACAGTGAGGAATTGGTTTTTGAGAGAGGAACGTGTTTGTGATACATTTCGTTTAAAAAATTGGGAAAACGGCCAGTGAAACTTTTGATTTGCTCGAAGTAGCATGCGGTGATGATGCTTTGGCTTGTAAGCAACTTTGTGATTGGTTCCATCGCAAACAGCAAAGTGCTTTCGAAAAATACATTTTTTAAGTCGCAGGATCGTTGGCCAAAGTGAGTGGCTTCAGAAGGAGGATACTTTCAGGGAGATATAGCTCCAAAATCTGAAAGTACCATAGTCTGTCTATAATCGCACCAGTAAAGACAAATTTTGAACAGATCTCGTAGTTAACATTCTTGGACCACGGTCTCACAACGCCTCTGCAGCACTAAGGTGCACTGCTAAACCCTGAGGCGCAAAAAAAGAAAAGGAGGCGAGGTGCACCGGTGTGCCTCATGGCAGTCAACCTATTAAGGAGTTTTTAAGGTGTTGAAAATATATTTTGCCGTACATGCATGTTATACTGAAATTTATATGATATAGCGAATCGATTGATGCAATATCCGTCGTCAATAGAAGAATTCAAGTGACTTTTGAATCAGAATGTATTTTTCTCTTTCGTATTACGACTCTTGAACTTCTTAACCTATTGGTTAAGTGGGTCCGGTACACATACGTTAAAATAGATCTGATGATGGATGCTTCCGTATGTGCCACCAATATTTATGTACACTAATATATCAATGCAGAGGGAGTTGTGGAATGCCGAATGACAACAATGGGGGTGGAGTACAAAGGAACCCGCAACCAATCACGAACTGGAAAAAATTGTCTGCATTGGGAAGGCACGATGGACTTTTTCCCTACGCCTCTAATTGGCGATGATCAGGGCAATTTAAAACAGCCCAACCTAAACTACTTGCTGGGAATAATTAAAAGGCTGGACCTAAACTATTGCCGGAATCCAACGATGATAGCGCGACCATGGTGTTTCGTTTCCACCGACTATAAGGAATGGGAATACTGCGACATCCCCTTCTGCCCCGGCCGCAAAGGTCTGAGATCCTTTGTTCTGCGAGGATACTACAGAGGGTGTTCAAAAGTTTCTGAACGCTTTTTTAAAATATAATATACAGGGAATTCAGGTAACTTGTACATCTTTGAACGCTCATGTCTCTGAAAGGACGCAACATATAGTGATGAAAATTGACCACAATATAAAATGTGATGGGGGAAAATCCATTGCGCAAAAAACCATGATGTGCGTTTCTTAATCGAAATAAACACGTCGGTTCTTCTCCCCGCGTAAACAAAATTCAGATCTCCATTTGTACAGCACATATCATACTGTACCACACGCAATCAATCAAGTAAATGTGAAAAAAATCGCCTCTGGAAATGAGAGAATGACAAGGGATGTCTCATTATCTGCCTGTAATATTGCCCCACACCGCTCGAAAGTCGTGTTGCTTATACTCGGAACGGTAACTTTCTCATATCAGACTCAGGTGGCTAGCCATATCTGGATATATGATCTGATTACATATTTGAGCTTTCAATGAGTCGTCATGTGCAATAGTTTTAAATCGTTTGGAATTCCCCTTTGAATCCCTTTTTGCCTAAGTGTAATTTTTGCGCAAAACGGTTATGTTGCGTTGATTCAAGTTGGGAATGACGTTGCGACATGACCTCTTTAATTGTGAAGTTGTAAACGCATGGAACTTTGCGAACGTCGATATTTATCATTTGATGAGCTAGTGTATCCCGAATGCCGACTGACGAACATCGGGATGGAATACATGGGGACGATGAATGTGACAAAGACAGGAAAACGATGCCTAAGATGGAATTCCGCTGAGGTGAAGCCGTACATAGAAAAGGATGGCCAAATGTCCAATTTCTTTGGTGATATTCCCTCCGAAATGAACTTTTGTCGAAATCCGGATTTCCACGAGATGCCCTGGTGCTACGTCGATAACAACGGCTTGCGGGAGGATTGTTGGATTCCCCTTTGTGACGATCAAAGTGAGTGACTACCTGAAATGGACTCATATTCACTCACAGGTAAAAGTAATTGACATTCCATGGAAAAAGAAACTTCTGTATCATTCCCAATTTACTATCCCTTTTCAACTTGTGAGATACTTAAATAAATTTACTGTATGCGTTCAATACGTGTACTCGACTACGTCAAGGGGAAATATAGTTTTTCTTCTGAGATCATACATATTTAATTTTCGATTCAACAAGTCTCATTATCCGATTGCTCTTCCAGGAACCAAAGAATGCAAAACAACTGCCTCTGGAAACGACTATAAAGGCTCAAAGAACTGGACCATTTTTGGTGCACCGTGCCTTCCATGGACAAAGGCAATCGAAATAATCAAGAAATCTGGAGAGGAAAGATTTCTAATATATTCAATGCTTGGTAGCCCCATGGCAGACCACAACTACTGTCGGAGCAATATCTTGACTCCATATGGTCCATGGTGCTTTATTGAATGGAACAATATGTTGGGGAAGGATTATTATTCTGTGATTCAGGAGGACTGCCATGTGCGTTCATGTTTTCGTGAAGAAATGGAGAAGGCATCTGAGACAGTGGAAGCAAGCAAGTCGAGTGAGTTTTAAATTTCTATGCCAAATTATAATACCGTCGTACGACGACTTCTCTTTCAGGTGTCACAAAACTCGGATGGCCGCGTCGATGCATTGATCGTCTCAAACTGGAGCGTGACCAAAAGTCTTCTTGATTCCAACGCTCAAATATACAGAATTTGTTTTTTAAGATGTCGCTAGGCCGCGAATAATCGTCAACAGCTCAGTGCTTTGAATATCACTGCTGTAGTTCATGTCAGAACGATATGAAGTTTTACTTGGATACAAAACTCACCCTTCTGCCTGGATCACTAATTCCAAAATACAATACAGTGTTTTCATACCAAGTTCAAACCGGAGTGCGGCAAGCGTAAAGCTTTTCAACAGAAGGATCACAACTTAAGATATGAAAAAGAAAGCATTGCTCTTCACAAGAAATTGCAATTCATCATGATGCAGCAGCCAAACCGTCGAATAGAGCACTGAAATTGCGTAAACTGATTCCTTAGCAACCATGGATGTGCTCTTCTATAAGACAGAACTAGGTCCAAAGTGCCGTGTTACTCACTTTCCCGGAAACTCTATGCTGCATTAAGAAATAAAAATTACCCAAGTCCTCTTCTGACGCCATGAAATCCGTCAAATGTATATGAGCAAGGAAAATAAGATGTCCTTGGACTCAATCCAATCGGTGCAGTAGGTCAGGATTTATTTGTAAAAGAATGGATTGCAAAGTAATTGAGCTGCATTCCGGCCATCTAGCATTTACTCCAAGACACAAGTCTTCCACAAAATTATAGTTTTCTCAAAGTAGTAGCCATGAGTAACATTTAAAACATGTTTCGAAATCTCATTTTTTCTCTCCCAGACTTCCCAGACTTGATTCTTTCAGACATTGTTCGCCCAGACATTTTCTGTACTGGTATTTGCACATTACAATGGCGAGAATGACAAATTCGTCATAGAAGAAAAAGAAATATCAAAATATATTCATTTGTAAGCTATCAATGGATGCGACATCGTCGTGATGCTGTATATTTTTTTCTGGATGCATTTTATACAAGCTACACCCCATTTTCCTCACATTATACTTCCATTGCAGTTGGAGCAGAGGCAATGCAGATATATCCGGAATGCCGAATGACGACAATGGGGAAGGAGTACAGAGGTACCCATAGCCGAACACAAACTGGGATGAATTGCACTGACTGGAAGACAGTTTATTCCCAGCAAGCACAGAATATGGGAAACGTTTTCCCCGGATTTTCTTTATTTCTTTTCCATTTGCAATTGCCGGGGTTCGAAAAGCAGAGTGCCGCGAACAGAGAGTACCTCACCGAATTCATTTTTAAGCAGGACCTCAATTATTGCCGGAATCCAACGTCAGCCGAGCAGCCATGGTGCTTTGTTTCCTCTTACGGGCTATGGGAATTCTGCGACATCCCATTCTGTCCCGGCAGCAAAGGTCTGCGATCCTTTGGTCTCCGAGGATACTATGCTAGAGAGAGTGCGTTGCATAGGATGTCTTAATATCTGCTTAGAGTATTTTTTCCAATCCGCTCGAAGTCATATTGCTGATACTGTAAGTTTCGGGCGTATCACAGTCTAATGACGAGCTACAGAGCAGAGAAGAAAAACCAATCGGGCCTCTCTGAAGAAAGGAACGAGATTAGCGACTGTGGCTAATAGTGCGAACAAAACACGTCGGGTCCTGCTGATCCGTAACATTTGAGCTTCACTTTTTCGTTGAAATACGGAATAAAGCGATGAAGATTTGGAAATTCGTTTCCCTTTGTACCCATGAGCTTGGTCCAAAACATTTTTTGGCTGCTGCAACAAAGCACGTTGGCTGTTCGAAGTCAACGGCGTATGGCTCGAAACGTTTAGAACCACTGGCGTCGTGGTGAACGATCAATTGACACACTTTCAGATATACCTCATCTTCCATTCCCGTTGTCTACCGTCATTTTTTCCATTTTCAAAATTCATTCCTCACCTCCCCCCCTCCTGTCAGTCAATTTCATAAGGAACAAAATTGTCCTGTTCGCACTCTTAATCACAAGCGCTGATCTCGCTCCGTTCCTCAGTTAGTCTCGCTCTGATTTTTTTTATTGCTCATCACTGTATTGATTTTTATCCGACGGGCAGAATCGCAAGTCAAGATGCAATGAATTAGAAACGAATGAAATCAATACCTAAAAATTACTTAATTTAAAACATTGGCAAAACGATGGGATCAATGCACATATTTGAAGTTTCATGATTAATTATTCGTTTTCTATCTCACATTTCGCTCATCCTCAGACATGCCCATGTGTCCAGTCATGCATCATATCCAATACCAAATACTTTATCAGTGGAATGATTCCTTATTCTGTTGACTCTCAGAACCCGTGGAATGCAGACTGACTGAAGAGGGATTGGAGTATGCAGGGTTCAAGAACCTGGATGCAGGTGGCAGGAAGTGTCAACCCTGGTTGACGTCCAACGCAAAACGTTTCCAGCTCCTGAACTTCCTCGCTTTCCCTGACGAACGTATAGACTATAGTTTCAACTATTGTCGCAATCCTGACCCTAACAATGAAAGTCTCTGGTGCTTCATTGAAGGAGAAGAAACTTTGAAAGGTCGGGGTCAGTGCAATGTCCCATTCTGCTATCAAGTGTATGAGCGTTCCGCTCTGGAAGGTATGCTTTCAGATTGCTGCATGCTTGTTCACACAAATTTTTTCTCGTTTGTGGCTTTCAATGGTAAAGTATTCAGATGTGCAAATATATCTCATCCTACACTGCTACCAAAGACTGAATAATGGAAAATTTTACTTTCTAAGATTTTGTAAACCAGTTCTCTTAAACTTCTCAAGCACTGCAGGCAGGGAATATCTACGTTTCAAGTGATTCAAAGACTTTCGCCCCTAAAATGTGACAGGTAAACCGGCGCAAGGATACCCGGAATGTTTGCAGACCAAGATGGGGAAGGAATACGTGGGGACGACGAGGAAGACGATATCTGGGAAGCCCTGCCTCCGATGGGACGCTAAGCCCTACGGAAAGCCTGAGGATTTCGACCCGAAATTATCCTACGATGATCATTTCCGATTTGGCAATGCCGCATTGCATCAAGACTTCTGCAGGAACCCGACGTTGAAGAAGCAACCCTGGTGTTTCGTCGCCGATCCTGAGAAGAAATTGGAATTCTGCAATATCCCCCTCTGCCCCAACTACCCCAGTGAGCTCATTCTGATCCACGATCAAATGTTATGTCTGGTTCGAAATGCGTCATGCTAGGGTTGGAAAAGAACCAACACTCAAAGTAGACATATCATTATAGTCCAAGAGAGCTTGCTTAGGGCAATTTAATATCATATCAGTCGCTTCTAGAAGCAGTCAAAAAAGACATTAGGTGTTGCTTTGGCTTAGAGATAGAAATATAACTCAAAATGTTGCCCAGTTTAGCAGTTGCCGATTCCAGGCCTTCTGTAACTAAATTCATTATGAAGCGCATTGTGGCCTTGGATACCTGTTCATCTTGGGCTAATATATATTTGCGATATCAAGAACAATTGAGTCATTCCATTAAACCTAAGGAACAAAAATTTGTTTTTTCGTCCGAATCCTATCAAATCATTGACGCTGTATTCTCTTTGAGAAAACTACATATTCCATCAAATTCGACTTGAGCCTTACACGATAATACGTCTCATTAAATCTATTACTGGAAGATGTATTTCAATGCGTCCAATGGTGTTTCCAATTAATCCGCATGTAATCCCTGGCTCGCATGATGAGAATCCTTCTCTCTTTCTCGGGAAGATGAAGGTTTGGGTGGTTTGATTTTTCACTCCACCAGACAAGACGGAATGCAAATGGACGCACAAGGGAGAGGAATACGCAGGGACTCTCAACGTGACGGTGTCTGGGCGTTCGTGTTTGCCTTGGAGCGACTCTGGATTACGGGAACAATTTTGGCCGAGGTTCCCAGAAGACGTGAGCAGCGAGGATCACAACTTCTGTCGCAATCCAACAGGGAGAAAGGACCTGGCCTATTGTTTGGTTGGTTTTAACGAAACCGGAAAGACCTTCGAAGCCTGTGACATTCCTTTCTGCCCCTTCCACTTCCTCCACTAAAGATGCCTCGTAGGTGAGGGAAGCAGTGAGACAATGGAAATGTTTTTGCGTTTCATGAACTGCCTGTTGCATTTAATACTCTTTGTTCAATGTGGGTATTTCTGTATTTTGACGCATATACTTCATGTAACCGTATATGGAGGTCAGGCAACTCACTCTTTTGATTGTCAAATAATTGCTTTCCTTTTGGCCTTTTTCGTGGGTAGCACCAGGGGTACGTAATTCTTACATTTAGCTTTCATTTTTTAGACGTTCTAGATTTATTGGAGGGCTATTTTCGGGCACAACTACCAAGACGATGGAGTGAATGCACGCATCGAAGAAAAACTTGTCATACCTGAATTCAACGTCCTTCTGGGAAAATTTTCACTAATATGTATCATTGGCGTTCTTCAAGTGACCTGACGAACCCTGCAAGTGAAATCATTCCTGAGTGCTGCGGCACCTTGTGGAAACTTTCTTGTGCTCCAAGTGCGTTAATGGTGTTGTCCTCGTATGGAGTGTTGGTTATGAAACCGTTTGAGGGGAACATGTCGAATCCTCGTTATTTCAAGGTTGAAATGATAACATTTCCGAATTACGTGCAGTTGCTCTGCAGCAGCACTCGCAAATGCAGCATGAAAGCGTAGTGGTCATTCCGTTGGGCTTCCTTCATGACAAATATTTCTGTCAGAGGAGGAAAATGCCATCGAATGGAGGTTTTTCTGAATTAAAGAGCCGAATATTCTAATCAAAGGACTTTTAGTGTGGAGTGGGATGGCCGATCGATGCAGTGAAAAATGGAGAAATAGTGCACGGACATATCTTGATGGTGTCCATTCTTTTCTTCGATTCATGATGTTTGTCCATAGGCGTCAGAGTCGGGTTGGCGACAGAAACTCAAGATGGGCCAAATTTTACCTAATTTTTATGAGAAAATCCCAAGATATATGCATAATGATTTCTGTAAATTCAAGGTTATTGGTGAGAGGGGTGTGTGGAACAGGAGTGTAGGAGGCTGTTGGTTGGGAGGATAGGGGAGAGTGGAGAGTAGGGGGAAGGAAGGGGGTGGGGAGAGGAAGTGGAATGTCTTTCAGACATTGTTTCCTCACTACTTCATTTCCGCCATCCTATATTTTTCGCGCATTTGAATCGATTACGTCGAGTATTGTCGATAGAGGGAGAGGGAATTCTTGATCCACGCCTGAAATTCATGAGAAAAAACACAGAAGGGAGCAGCGGATGGGAGCCGCTGATTGGAGCCGTCGTCGGATCTCGAAAAAAGTGAGTCTCTTCCACCCATCAAGAGGTCTCAAGTCATGTGGCTTCGACACGCTTGCCTCATTCCTCCTGTTAGACTTCCAAGAGGAGTCTCTCAGGCCCAGATAACCAGCAAGAGGACCTATTGGTAGACATCGTACAATGTTGATGACGTTTCTCTGCTTCGTCACGAGAGACTCAGGACTGAGCTTGAGTCTGTTGCCCAGAATCTAGATCACTGGTGGACGCTTCTGAGCATGCTTCAACAGCGAACCCATTAAGGTTAGGAAAGCGGTATCGAAAATGCACATACATAAGTAACTGCATAGCATACGAAGTCCTCAGCAGGCCGATCGAGTTTTGTTCGGAAATATCGAATTTTACTCATCACAGAGATGGACCTACACGAACGTTTCCATGCTTCCCTAAGAATGCATACTACTTGCAGGGAGTTTAAACCATGTTAATTCATGATGTGCGCGAATGCCTAACAATTGGTCGTGAATTGATAGGCTTTCATTATTTTTTTACGTAGAGAGACGAATGGAAATTTCCATCACCGGATAAACGGTCTTGGGGACATGTCCTTCAAAGTTTTGGGGGGAATGGTAAAATGACCCCTCCAATAAATTCAATATCACCCTAGCTACTCACGCTTGAAACCTGGTTAATGTCTCATTCTAAAGCGTGTAGGCAAGCATCTAAACATTTTTTGTTTCTTTTCTCTGCCTTAACTAGAAGAAAATTCACAATTTTATGAAATTTCTGAAATGTTCCCATCTTCATCTCAAAAATTGTAATATCTATGGTAAAAAGAGAAACGAGACCAGCTTTGGATTTTCCATGCTCTAAGAGGTTCATCCAAAGATACATGTATTTCGCTTTTAGGTCCCTTCAAAATTATGTTAAGCAGATTTAAAATTGCAAATATTGGGACATATGAATACAATTTGACCTTTAGTAACTTTACTTCAAGTCCAGGTAGAGGTAACCCTTTTCAGATAAGTGGCCGGTCTCTCAAAGCTCCCTTTCTAGTCATTGACGTTTCATCGCGTTATTCGAAACCCAAAGCATTCAGAATTCTTTTCCTAGACAATTTCGAGAAAAATGTTTCATCGAGCCCTTTTTTCCACCTGGATCGTGTTGGAGCTGAAAAGCACATCATACTCGAGTTTGTTCATTTAACCCGCCTTGGGAAACAAAAACAAGCACATTCCACTTAATATTTCATTATTATTTATATGGCATCAAATATGAATCTTGAGAAACATCACACAACTTCCTTAGATGCACCATCAACAAACTATCTATATTCCGCTGCCCGTTTATTCTTATATCTTCTTATGACTTCATTATCATGCCTAAGTCTAACTAACGAATATCTAAGAAAAATGGAAAGAATAGAATTTCGGGAAATTTGTCCTCTCCACAAATTGTATGGCCTCCAAGTTATGCTTGGAATTCCTGTAGACGTGAACAGGGTCGCACCTACATCCGCCCTACTCAACAGACCCGCCTCCCATTGACTACCAATATCTTCAGCGAGATGAAGAAGTCTATGCGAGAGGTGCGTTTTCGTCACGTCAATTTAACTTATAGGAGACCATAAGGCTAACGTTCCCCAATTTGTTATGCATGAAATATTTAACTTTCCCGGGCAACGCCGGGTACTTCAGCTAGTCCTATATATTAAAAACACAATGAAGCTGCGTTCATGTATATGAAGCCTCCGATGCTTGGGTCTGAGTGCATGTCCACAGGTCCATGTTCGCATGTGCGGTGTCTTCTGCCTGCCTCGTGTGTACGTCTCCCTCTCGCGGAGGAGCACTTTTTTTCCGACCTTTGCGACTTCGGATCCATTCTCGAGAACGTAATAGCCCGAGGGGGGTGGGGGAAGAGTTCGAGTAGCATAAGAAGACTAAAAACAAAATTACTCAATCGGCAAACGAACCCTAGACTTTTTTATTACGAAGCAAACATGTTACCACTACGCCACGAAACGTCACTATGTAATTTTACTTTCCATGTCATCCCTAACATTACAAGGGGAGAGAAGCATTCTAGGAACCACACTCCCATTCAAAAGCGTATTCTGCCGCATGTCCGACTTTTTGATTGGATTAAATAAATTCTTTTTTTCCATTAAAAAAGCCGTAAAAAAATGGTTTTGCAAGCAACGCTCAATGGACAGTCTAGTAACCCTGAACTTCAAACCATAGTTTCCCTGAGAGTGGGGCACTTGGACGATGGAGTTTAGTGGTCCTGTGACTGTTGGATCGCAAGGGCCACCTAGGTGACATAAAGCAGGAGTTGGAAATCTGAACAAATCTGGTATTTTTATCCCCGATATAGACACCGACGTGTTTGGAATGAGGCGTTGAATCATCGTTGACTGGGTGTGGATTGAATGCATGACTGTTGTTACATCCATGTTACTTTATAATTGATTCAACACGGTGACCGTCACCGTTTATGCACCCACTTTGGGCCAACATTCATTCAATGCTCGACCATTCACAGTCGAAGTAGAAGATATGCTTTCTTCATCAGTGTTTGCAACTACTCAGTTCAGTCGATCTACCAGGAAATATTTCTTTCAAGAGGAACGTTCGATTTTGAGCAAATAAGAGAGCGGCTGAAAGGCACTCGAATTTCGTCACACCAATCGAGCAGAATGGCAGTTTCGGCTCGCATAATTAGGAGCAACGATTCAAAACCCTACTGTGTCAGACCTATTTCCCAAAATAGGCACGGACGTGTTTATGTTTGCCATCAAGAGCTTGGTGTAGGAGAAATGACATGACGACACTAGCTATGTATATTTTAATTAAGCTTGAACTGTAATGGCTGCTAAAAGCATTCATATTTTCCTAACAATAATATCATACAAAGAGTGTTTTCTGGGACGGTCTTGATGGTACATGGTCTTCATGCAGCGTTTCCCATATGAATGTGTTTTTTTATTGCTTTATTATTTTTATTACTAATACGATTACCTGAGTATGGTGAATGCCTTTAGCACGTATATAATTTTGGCTATCCAAAGAAAGGACACTTACGTGAAACAACTTCACAGCGGCCGCATTGCTCACATATTAATTAAAAGAACGCTTCAGTATGGCATCAATCCTTTAACATTATTTCAATGTTGATTCGATGCTGAAAATGTCAATATTGAGAGAACGTTGTCCGGTCAACATTATGTCAACAAATGTCTGGCGAGACAAGCGAACAAACAAGATTTCCTGACTGCGAAATATGATGGCGACTACTTACCCAATGTGGTTAGTTACCATACGAATACTCGTCTCCAGTACTTTTGGAACAGTACTTGATATTTTCTCCACAAACGACGCCTGGGAGGGAATTTGACTTATTGGATATGTTCGATCAATGTGGCAACTCAACCAAACAAGACCTAGGATAATTCTGAGCATGGTGATGGACACAAAAATGTATGCGAGGTCATATTACTCCAATAGACCACGACGTCCTGTTTTCGAGGAGGAATTCAAATCCTGATCACTGCTGAAGGATGCGTGGAGAGAGGGTAGTCTCTCATTAAATCGCGGTAATCGTGTCGGTGTCCCGCCTCCTGGGAAACTGGATGCCTCTTCCTCATCTCGGCATTAGGTTCGCATTTTCCTTGAAAAGGGGATCTTAAAAAAACGAATTCGGAGAATGGCGATCGTGTCCAGATGACATTCGAATAATGCTTCAGTCATGAAACGGCGCATGCGCACGAATTAAACAGATTGTTGAGACCTGTCATAACGGTGAACGATCGTGGATTCAATATTTCTTCAATGTTGAAGAAAATGAATTTTCAATATGGAGTCAACGCTGATAAGCAAATGATGAAGCAACGTTGCAATCTTGGTCTTGAACATTGAATCAATTGTTGATAAAAATGAACTTTCAAAGTAGAATCAATGTTGACAGGCAACGTGGTTTCAACGTTAGCTGCGTTGACGAAATGACGTTGAATCAAAGTTGATTCAACGTGAGTGTGCTTCTTGGGTTATCGGTTTGTGAATTAACATGGAATTGAGACTCCTAACGTGCATATTCATTTTCCCTCTCTCCTTGTTGCATTTCCATTATTGATTCAAATGCCTTAATTGCAGAAAATAATGCAGATTTTAGATGGAGATTGATTTCCCGTA